CCAACTAAATTGAAATTTCTTTATGTATTTATTTAGCAATTAATTACTGACTTTCATAATAACAAAAAAATAAAAAAAATACAACCATTGGAGCCATTAGTCAAACTAATGGTCAACTAATAGATTGGAGGAATATACAAATCAAAAGTAAATTTTAGGAGAATCCGTGTAATTTTAAAAAATACAACCAGTGGAACCGTTAGTCAAATTAATAGTCAACTAATAGATTAGAGGAATATGCAAATTAAAAGTAAACTAAAGACACACAGTGTAATTTTAAAGAAAGATTAGAGGTGATTGTAATTGTCAAAAACTTTATAGAAGTGAGTGTAATTTGCTCTCATAATTTTGTGCACCTAATTTTTGCATGTTTGTGACGTAATATCTGCAAATGGACTGTGAAGTCAACAAATTTAAGGACCTGTAGTGCAATTGACGAACAAATTAAAAAAAATCACTACCTATACATCATCAGTTATAACCACCGGGCTAGTGGCCTGATGGTGAACGCAATTTTTTCAAGAGTGAGTCAGGTTTGATTTTTAAGAGCGTGAATATGTTGGGTTATTTAGGTAATTTTTTGTGGAGATTTTGCATTATTGCAGTTGATACTTGATCTTTTTTGAGATGTGTGGTTGAGTTCTATTGGTGTTTTGGTGGTGAATCTATTCTTATGGATTGAATTAAATCAGGACGGCAATCGGTTGTCTCAAAACTTGAGTCTACAAATGCAGTAATGACAATTCAGAATATCTTTAAAAAAAATCAACAATTATAAAAAGACAACCACCCGGGTAATAATTATAAAAAAATATATATATATATATATGTGTGTGTGTGTGTGTGTGTGTATGTGTGTGTGTGTGTGTGTACACTTTCTTCTCAAAATTCATCTTTTTACTTTTCAAGGAAAACTCATTTAGCATCTTTCCATCTCATCAGTTATGATTCTAAAGAAAAAATTACAAATTACCTTTACTTTATAGAGAAGTTTTAAAACAATCATTCATTCACTCATTTTAACCTTTAATCCAAAAACATTAATCATACCACCATCTATCACTTACTCTATTCTGTACAACACTAATTATACAAACTAACATCTATCATATAATCGAACAACCTCATTCAATTGATTATAAAATTATCCCACACTTTAAATCTCTTTCACAAATCCCCCACATCCTGTATATCTACAAAATTATGTAACTCAACAACAAGTATAACATAACTAAAAAGAAACCGGCTTCAACAAACCATTCCGAAACAGCTTACCGGGCGTAGCTTAGGAAGGAAATCTGAAACCTATCTCACAGCACCACTCTTTACCGGTGGCTAGTCGGAAGGAAAACGAAACCTTCATATAGCCTAACTATCCACACGCTTTACCGGACGCAAACTGGAAGGAAAGTAGAAACTCTTTCAATGCGCCACGCTCTACCGGTCACACCCCGGAAGAAAACGAACCCTCTTTCCAAAATTTTAATCTATTAATTCCTTTATAATTCATCGTTTCAATTCATAAAATTAAATCAACATTATATTACATAGGTAACCCAATCTACAACAATCAATACCATCCTCCACTGATGGCCAAGAATAAAACCTCTAGATGTTTGATGACATGAGTCCTCATCAATGAGACAATTTGATTTCCATACTCCAATATCAATAACCTTTATGAGAATTAAATCAATAAACACAATATCGTACGTGTTTCATAATTTACCTCACCAATTTCACATTACCCATTCCCATGATTTAGGCTAACTCCACAATGATCATTTCTATCTTATTCATAAACCAAAAATTTCTACTCAAAAAGTTAACATAACTCTATAATTATTAAATCTTTAACTTATTCTGTTACTCAACATTATTTCATAATTAGAAATTAGGGATTTTTGTTACAAATCATATAGACTTGTTCTAATGCCGTAAAACTTCTATAATCCACTACAAATCATAAGTTTAACTTCTTTATTTCAAAACCCTAACTTTCCTTTACATACTTTTCAAATCTCTTTCAAATGTAACATTTTATGCAATAGAAAAATATCACACATCTATCTATATGAAAGTTTTGAGGAGAAGCAAAGAAATCCCTACCTCTTGAAGAGAGAGAAGGAAGCTCGAAAATCCACTGGCGACGAAAAAATAATTTGCTCAGATCGAGAGAAAACCCTTACCGTGCTCTATGTTTTGGTATAAGGAATTAGGGGCCAAAAATGTTTAGAAATAGATGAAATCAAGGGTTAAAGAGTTTGGAAGCTCAAAAATAACGCACAGAAAGAGACAGAGATAGAGAGATCAGGATTTGAAAAGTGAGAAAAAATGGGCCAAAAGTGACTTTTTAAAGGCCTGCTCTCGAACAAACAGCTTGAGTAGTCAAAGTTATGCTCGAGCGGTGAATGAAATCTCTCAGTAGCTATATTTTCTTGAACAGACCGCTCGAGCGGTCAAAAGTATGCTCGAGCGGTGAATCAAGGCTTGCAGTATCTGAGACAATTTTGAAAAAGCAGAGCTGGAAGGGTCTATGGACCGCTCGAGCGGTGAAACTTGCGATTGAGTGAATTATGCACACAGTTCAGATTTACAAATTTTGATCGAGTATAACTCTCTTGTCCAAACTCTATTTTAGGTCGTTCTTGTGTTTAAATTGAAGCCCCGGAAATGAGATTTTCAATGGTTCTAGCTTTACATCAAAATTCAAAGTGTGGAGAGAGAAAATGATAATAATAAAAAAAAGGTAAAGTGAAGACTACTCAGAAATAACTTTTCGAATTTGAAATTTTTGATCTAATCTCACCCAACCATTAAGGTAATGCCTCATCGAAGACTCAAATATCAATTACAAAAGTTCCTAATTATGATAATTGAAGTGTCAAATATGATTCTATTACGACAAGGAGTCCGAAGCGCTACAAACCAAATGGAGCCAATAAATATCCTTACCACATATCTCATAAGCAATAAATGAAACAATTTTACAATCCAAAAATCAGTGCAATTATATCTTCTGCTTTATTATATAGATATATGCATTTATTTGTAGATAACATAATATACAAGACAAATATGTCAGAGCACTAAAACTCAAAAAATACTGTATCACCTTTTAGTTGAGTTTTTTATTTTTATTTTGGAAGAAATACTGATGAGTGGTACTTTGAAAAAAAATTATAAATTCGTGCAAAAATTTAAAATTTTAATTATTAATATTTAAAAAAAATTACTATTAATTTGTAATAATTTTTTAAAAAATACCACTAATGTTATGTTTTCTCTTTTGTTTTTGGGTCACCAACAATAAGTATTAATTGTTAGTTGGAAAAGAGGGCAACACCAAAAGATATTATACATACGCTTTGAACCCACAAAACTTTACACTACAAAGTGGAGTTACAAACTTTTAAAAAATAAAACAAAAATAAATAAATAAATAAAAACTAGGTGTAAAAATGTTGGATTGCATGATCTACAAATGTTTGCTTTTTAATTTAAATATTTTTTTTAGATTGTTTCTAATAAATGAGGAGTTACATTAGATTACAGATTTCACATTAAAAAAATAAAAAAGAATAAAGAAAAGAAGGTGTAATAATGTTGGATTGGATGATATACATTCGATGATAATAATAATATTAATATTAGGGGCATTACTTATAAATCTCTCTTCACCTATGTGTATTTTATTTAGGTGGTGTTTGATAAGCTGAAAACTGAAAATTAAGTATTGAAAACTGAATGTTGAATTTTTTAAGCTGAAAAGCTATTTGATAAAAATTTAAGTGCTGAACTAAAAATAAATCGTTTGATATATATAAAGATCAAATTTGAAATTTATTATTTGCAAATTATATATTTTAATTTTTATATTGTAATGGTGGTGGTGATGGTATGATGATGGTCACTACAACATTTTCTTAGTTTAGTGACATTTGAAAGTGCCACAAAACTATTCTTTTATGACATTTTTTAGTCTTGTGGCATTTTGAACAAGTGCTATTTATACTCGTGCCACAGTAGGTATTAGTGCCACGATAGATACTTACAAATGCCACTACACTATCATGGTTAAAAATTTTCAATGACATTTTGATGTCATGATAGATATTATTTGTGACACTATCAAGCTCCATTAAAAGAGTTAGGGGCACTTCAGTGACACTTGTAAGTGCTATTACACCATCAGGACTAAAAATTTTCAGTGACACTTTAATGTCATGGTAGACACTATTCGTGACACTCTCAAGTGCCATTAAAGAAGACTTGCAATCTAAAAAATGCCACGACGTGGATTTTTAATGACACTTGTTATGCCACAATTAATATTTATAACTTCATAAATGCCACTAAATACCATTGGAACTTATTTTAGTGACACTTTACAAAGCTACTATCACTACTACAAAATGCCATTTATATGTTCTTTTTATTGATACATTTAAAAGCTACAACTAAGCATAATGCCTGTAAAAATTGAATCAATTTTATAAACAATTGAATATTAATTGCCACATTCTGTATTAATTTGACATCCATTCATCCTGTAATATTTTCATAATAATAAAAAAATATTACCATCATAGGATCATCACATCAAAAATAAAAATAAAAATTCAAACCACAATCAATTATTTATTATTGAAATACAAATTTATTTATATTGCAATAAAAATCCCTTGCCAAAATTATAAAATATTCTACCACTAACAAAGTTAAAGAAAAAAAAAATTTAAGAACTGTAATATTTTCATAATAATAAAAAAATATTACCATCATAGGATCATCACATCAAAAATAAAAATAAAAATTCAAACCACAATCAATTATTTATTATTGAAATATAAATTTATTTATATTGCAATAAAAATCCCTTGCCAAAATTATAAAATATTCTACCACTAACAAAGTTAAAGAAAAAAAAATTTAAGAAAATTATTTCAACCATAAGTTTTGAAAAGCCATAGTGATATCCATCTTCCGAAGAGATAAAATTATCAAAATAAAATCAGTTCCCAAATTCTCAACCTCACTTGTATAAATATTCTTGGCTAGGATCCATAACTTGCAAAATTTGCATCCAAAAGATAAACATATAAAGGTAATTGAAACTATATTAAGTTAATATAAATTTGTTAATGAAATTAGTATTTACGAAAGAAATATACCACAAATGGAGCAAACCAAGCAACATGAACTCCAATAGCTTGTCCAACTGTTTTAACAAGTCCATATGATCGGATCAAGCTCTCATTAGGTTTGACTGCCACTTAAACATGTACCTCCCAATAGTCAAGTCCTAGGTCTTCCCTTTCTACTTCTTCAGATGCGTCTGTGCTTTTAAGTACTCCGATTGCAACTGTTTCTGTTAGTTTAATGATACTTTTTAGAACAACTATATCTCCCACCTGTTATATATTTAAAATTAATAAATAATATTTAAAAAATAAACTAGTACAAAGTGTCAGAGTGAAGATGATCACAACTGAAAGTGATATGCATTTCTCTAGTAGATAAGCAAGCCAAATGATTTAATTACTTAATCGGTTCACCACACCACAACAAATTATATAAAAGGAACAACTGTAAGTCTTTAGACCATATTAAACAATAGCTTAAAAAATCAATAACAACCGAAGGCACCAATCAACAATAATCAAAACCATGCCCATCATCAATATCAGGATCCCCTAACCTCAACGATGTAAATCAAATGTAATTATGAAAAATGACAATCAACTTATTACTTTCAAGAAATATTTTGAGAGAATCAGAAAGAGCCCATGAGGTAATAAATGATTGAGAGATGTCTTGTTGAAGCTTCACAAGAAAAAAAATAAATAAATAAAATAAAGCACAAGTTTCGTTATGTCATGATTTTTACTATGCAGCACATTTTGCCCAGATTTAAACAACGAAATTTAGGTCCGCAATATTCATTCATTGGTTAATTGTAAGACAAGTTTTGCATACTATTCTAAAATAATGCTGGAAGTAATGTGATATATATGATTAGCTCTTAGTGGGTACCTGAGCAAGAGAGGCATCTTGTATCGATGACATGGACCATACTTGATGTTGAGCTGCCATGTCAAGAGGACTAGAAGCTGTTGTCACCTAACCAAATTTGAACTAATTAATTTTACAAACACACACACACATAGATATATGTATGTATATATATATGTGTAGGAAAACATTAATAACTTACAAATTCTATTTAAAAATTTACCTGGTTAGATGTGTTTGTCAAGTTATTCGGAGCATGCTCAATATGGGAAACTTTGGACCTTAACTCCAAATTTTCAGCTTCTATAGCATCCATTTTTGTGTCTTGGTTTGCTTTATTAGTGCATGACTATAAGGCAACTCATGTCAAGGGAAAACATGTAAAAGAATTTGTGCAGAAATATGTGAAAGACAGAAAGAGTATTATTGTGAGCATCAAGTTGAACCGAGTGAAAGCATTGTCTAACCCTTATAAGTCAACTTTGGCAATTTGATGCGCTGGTGCCAAGGCATTTTAGTTCAAGGACAATCCAATTTAAATCAATGCCAATTCCATCAGCTCTCTTGCATGTCCTTCTACTCTAAAATAAATAAATAAATAAATTGTCAAATGCTTAATTATATCACCAAAAAGTAAGTATGCTAGCTAGAAGTGATCCATTGTCTTCTGTAGAAAAGATGTGAAGTTTACTGCACTAATTCCTTCAACTCATGTATACTTCTCCATAATACGGCTTTTACAAATTTTTAGCATAACAACTTGTTGCATGTAATGGTTAATCTGATGGAAATGATAAAAACACTTATTTTTTTTTGAAAGATGAGTAGGGAGAATAAACATAGCATGCTAATGCAAAAGTTAGAGATTTCTAGTTTCATTGTTTCATATCTTCTTGCCCCTGATACATAGGTATCAAATTAATTGAATTTAACCTAACAAAATTGAAAAGGATTGTGAATCTTTGATAGCCATTATATCAAGCAATACCCTCGTTTTAGAATCCCAATACCACATGCTATAATCCCACCCAACTAGTGATTATCTAAAACATTACCTTTCGTAAACAAAATAATAAAAAAATATATATTATGCATTTACTGATTAATATAATTTATGTCGATCCATAGGCCAAAAATAGAACAACTTTGCAATTTTAAGATAGTTCATCGGATAGCAATTTAACAAATTGTTGTGGAAAAAAGTTCTTGGAACATTCTTTTTTAAATGCTTTGCTAGCCACACCTGGTTGGGTTTCTTAGAGGACTTAAAGGTCTGACATGTGGAATGGCATCAAATTCAAAGATGCCCTCTGACCATATAATATTCTACCTTGCTTTAATCAATTTAATGTAACTACACAAGCCTTTTAAGGTGAAAATTAAGAAAAAACATTCATATATGCAGGGGTGAGGAAACTACAAAGAATACCATCTCAACGAGTATATAAACCATCTCAACCCATCTGTCAATATCACCAATCTCAATGAAGCATTTAAAGAAACACCTAGAAGGCATATATCAATAACAACTATTTGTAAGTTACGATTGACAAAAACAACTAAACTTGATTTTGCAAGAACTATAAGACACCAACTGTACGAGCACGAAATAATGTTCTTGTATAATCCTGTTGATCAAGTCTGCGCTACTCCAAACGTCGTCGCTTTACTCCCTGAAAACACAAACTTGAGCTAGCTGGCGGGTTACTCCCTGAAAACACAAACGTGAGCTTGCCAGCGGGTGTGTGTCGGATACCTCTCCGATGCCTAAGTCAGCAAAATAGACAAATAGACAAAAGCTCTGTGTATTCGGGAATTAAAGTTGTGTATTACCTATACATTGGTTCTGTTGTGAGCTTTTATAGCTTTTGCCTGGCACAATCCTAGTAGGACTCTTATTCTTTCATGTAGAGTCCTCCTAGGAATCACACCCCTGAAAGATAATGCTTATCCTTCACCACCCCCCTCACTGCTTAAACCAAGTGAGATGGTTTTATCTTGGCTGGATAACAGTATGACCGAGCTAACACTACCCTTTGTCATACTCAATCCAATGCCTTCACATGTGCCACATAGCTCGGTTATTGTTCACTTGTACCTCGATTTTGGCTGTTGAGACCGAGCTAATTGCAGCAAGCTTTGACCGAGCTAACAAGAGCAAGGTCCACCACAAGAAGCCCAAATATCTCGGTTCCGAATACTATGACCGAGCTAATTACCACCATTCCGACCGTGGTGACTGTAACCACTTGGACCGAGCTAACACTAAGGTCCACTTCACTAAGCCCTTTTTACCACGACCCATAAAACGGCCTATTACTACGCCTGGGCCTAGCTCGGCCCTAATGCTCATAAAAACTCCCTCTCAATTGCCCCTTAATTCCATCTGTGTAGCACGATTGGGATTATTTGTTACTAGCCGAGCTAAAACTTCAGACCTTCAACCGAGCTAAATTGTCACCAGGCTACCGATTTGTCTGGTCAAAAAACGTCTCTTCAGTCATGCTGTACATCTGAATCGCTTGCTATTCCATAGACACGTGGCTGGCCCCTATTGGTTTAGTACAGCTGTCAATGCCGTCCTCGTACTCCGAAATTTTTGAACAGTCCCACCTATTCTTTGCCTTATACGAAAACCCTAGCCTTTTGAACTTATCACTCCACTATTCATCTTCTCTTTCTTGCCCTCTGAACCTCCATTTTCCTAAACACAGCATCTGTAAAGTTTGTGCTCTTGTTTGGTATCTTCGTCATTTGGAACTTCATTCTCCTCTTCTAAGACTGTAAGTGACTCAAATCCTCAATTTTTCCGTTTATTTCATGAACATGTATAGTATAGAAGTATATACTTACATATATTACAAAACACACTCTGTAGTTTTGCTGAAATGGGTAAGAATCAGTTAGTACCAAAAACCAGACCCCCAAACCATAGGCTCGTGCTTAAGAACACACTATCTGGATTCAGAAAACATGAAGTTTGAATCTAGAATCGTGTTGTAACCGAGCTAAAAACCTATTTAGGCAACTCTAGGCTTAAACACAACCGAACTAGGGAACTCTACCTAATAACCGAACTACGAAACTCCACCCCATAACCGAACTATAACTTGGGGCCAATCCAGCTCTCTGACTTAGTCAAAACCGAACTAAGAATGGGTTGCACCCTCTCCAGTCGAACTAGGGTTTTTTGTGTTTATTCTTCTTCTTTTTTAGCTCGGTCCAGTGATCTGGGCATAACACTTTTTATCTCCACTTTGCAAACTTTGACTAGGCTGGCCAGGCACTCCTTTGCACGCTTAACCGAGATACGCAATGTCATCTCAACACCGAACTAGTACTCCGAGCTAATTTATAGATAACTTAAGTCCACATGGGAAAATATTGATTCTTAGTAAACTCACCAAGGGCCATAGCTGAGTTCCGAAAGGATTACCAAATTCCAAATGACGTCCATCTTTCCTTAGCCGAACTAGATACCACACCTTGGAGAAAACAAGGTTTCGTTCCATTTACCGTGTTATCCATTGTTGAAGCCGACCTCCGATTCCCAGTTCAACTACTGTTATGCGAATTCCTTAGGCAAACTAGAATATGCCCAACCCAACTTAGCACCAATTCATACAGAATAATAAATGGCATCACCGAGCTAAATCGCCGACTTGGCCTCAACCTCGATTTAGCCGAGCTTTTTCATCAATACTCACTTGGTCAGAATGAAGATGGTTGGGTATACTATTTAAGAATAAGAAGACGCCGAGAGAAAATAATAAAAAATACACCAGACAAAGATGTAAATGATGATAACTTTTTCTAGGTCTTGGGCAACTTCGAAGACCAGGAAGCCCAGATACCGGGCGAGCGAATTAACTGGAATAAAGGAGTAGCCGGTATGAATACCTCGGTTTAACTTGTCTAATTTTTGCTTTTATTGCTTACAACTTCTACACCATGCTAACTGTTTCTTTTTTCTTTATGCAGACTTGAACCAACTAAAGTCGCAGTATCAATACCCCAATCTTGACGCACTCCGCGCCGCACTCTGGTACCACGATCGAGGTTAGGCCGAGCTACTCAACTTCGAACCGACATACAGATACAGCAGTAGGAGGAAGACCAGGGTGACAGATTTCCTCCTGGAACCCTCACCAAAACCAGATCCAACACTACCTCAAATTAATTTGATCCCACTAACAGAAGAGTAAGAAATGGCTAAGAAGAGAGTTGTCAGAGCACTTATCACCGAAACAACGGCTCCAGCCGTCGGGGACCAGACTGAGATACTCCAAGATGGCCAAACACATAAGGCCGTGGTAGCTCTTCCAACAGCCCGGCCCTCATCATCTCGGCCTAATAAGCGTGCTCGCACCTCTTTAACCGAGCCACGCCTTGTCGATGAAGAAGACACCCTACTTCCCCAAACCATGCCACCGAGCCCAGAACCCAAGTGTTCAGACCGGGCTAGCTCTTTTGAGTAGGCCCTAAAACTAACATACAGGAACCGAGCCATAAGAAGCACAGACTCAGTGGTGGCAGACAAAGACCATACGCTCGCTTTCAACCTGGCTAAGAGCGTGTGTTTTCCCTTTGAAATGGAACACCATGACCATTTGACCGAGCTAAAGGTCATCCGGTCGGTGACGAAGTCAATGGTGCTTGTAAGTGCTCCTTCTAATCTTCTTTCATTTTACATCATCTGTTTGCTCGATTTTTATTCATAATTGCTCTCTCTTTTTTGCAGGCCATGCAGAAGAACCACGTTGCTCACAAGCGCATGTTGGAATTGCGTAAGACAACTAGGATAGCCATGGCGGAGGCAAACAGAAGAGGGCCGAGCTAAATGACACCAAGCAGAAAATGGTCGATCTTGAATCTGAAGTCACCCGACTTACCGAGCTGGTTAACTCGGCTGAAGCTGATAAGCAGAAGGCTTTGGCCGAGTGAAAAGACAAGTATCTGCGCGAGCTAGTCGAGCTTGAGAAAAAGAAAGACGCAGAGATTGCCGAGCTGAAGAAAAACGCGGATGACGTTGAAGACCGTGGTTACAAGGAAGGTGAAGCCACCTACATCCTGCAGTGCGAAGCTGCCAAGGATATATTTTTCAAATGCTGGTAAAAAGCAGTCATGGCGAAGCTCGGTTATGGAGAAGAGACCAAGGTTTTTTAGAGCCCTCCTCCCCACTTTATTCCAAGCTACATAGCAGAGTATGCCAATGCTATTCAGCAAAAGTTTCTTCAAGAAGGGGAAGAATAAGAGGCATCCCCAGAGCCCAACAATACCCCGGTTGTCTCCAATGATCCTGGTCTCCAAGCCGTTCAGTCAGCTCGAGTGGAGCTCCCGGTAACCAGTACGGTTGAAGATGTGACTAACCTTCCTGCTGGAACTGTGCTATGGAGTGATGAAACTCGAGTTGGCCGGGACGCAGACCTGGATAATCTTTTTGCTTGATCATGTAATTTCTTCTTTTTACTTTTGGAAACAATTTGTAACCGGGGTAAAGTTCCACTTCTTGTATCTATGTTTTGAAACTTGAATGAAATCTCCTTTCTTTTTACTTGGTTCATTCTATACCTGCATTTAT